CCTCTTCTCCTTGTCTCCTTCCAGAAGCTGTTCTCTTACCTCCCACGCGTCTTCTGGCTTTCCTTGTCTGCTGGTCTGGGGTGTAAGGTCGATTTGTTCGACACAGCGATTGAAGCTGCGTGATACCAAGAAACGATAGGGACATTGAGCGAGAAATCTGCAGCCAATGCCTCTTCTTGTTCCTCTTCTTGGAGAAGTTTCCAGGCCCTTAAATTTGCTGCCCAGTGCGCCCTCTTCTGCTTTTTGCCAGTCAGCGGATCTGTGCAGCCACGAGAAGACAACGGCACTCCTCGCATGAGCGCCAATGACCAAAGTTTCTTCTGAGTGGTGATCGCCGTTCTGAGACGTGTCAACTCCATGTTCAAGACGTGAGCATCAGAGAAACTTGGCATCTTGCTCATTTCTTGATGAATGTCCCACGTGGTCACGGCCGTCTGGGCAGGAACAGGGAGGAGAGAGAACGTCCGTTTGCCATAATTCGCTGCCCTGCTTGTGTTTCACCCTTTTCTCTCAGTTTCACCTCTGCATGACCTCTCTGAGTCTCCTCGCCAGCTTCGCCCTTGGGTTGTGGTTTGTTTTGTTGCTTGGGTTTTTTTGCCTGAAAAACCTACTACCTTAAGTAAGTAGATTACAAACGTTCTAAACACAAAGCAAAAGCACGTGCAACAACTCTCAAGCACAGCAAAAGCACTCTCGCACTTTTCACGCGCTCTGGGCCTTGAGCCAAAGTGAAGTTCGAAAGCGGCTATGAAGGGACATTCCTGTAACAAGCGATTTCCATGCGAGATACCGGAGGTATCGAGCTTAAAGCATTCAAATGTGCATCCAAAACTCTCAAACTACAAAAGCTACGAAAAACTCTTGCTCAAAACACTTCCAAAAACAAAGTTCTGGTACAGAGCGCTTGCTCAAGCATTCCAAATGCAAAACCTTCACAGCTAAAGCTTTACAAGGCACTCAGACGTGAACTCTACTGCTCTCAAAACAGTTGTCTTGCAAACATTGGTTGTAAATTGACCTCGCTACGAGTGTAGCTCGGCTATACACTTTCACACCCCCTTTCGAGGTCAAGTGTCAACATCATTCTGCGGCTTGGGACTCTCCTCATGCCTCGTCTTCAAACACTTCTTGCAGAAATGAAAGCGCGACAAAGCACGACCTTTGGCATAGCTGCAGAAAGGTGTAAGATGCAACACTGTTCCTTTCTCAGTTCGGTAGTATGAATCGTGCGTATCAAGCCAATCTGCGAACACTGGTGGCATCAGATCGTTCACCTCAACGCTCATATCTCTCGTGCTCTTCTTTCCCATTGACTCCTTGAATCGACAATCACCTGCACTGAGCGACAACAAAGCTTCGTCAGTATTCCTCCAACGAACATGCCACTCACGAAGATGAGAATACATAGAATCTCAAACTCTCGCCCATCCACATAAGCGAAAGCCAAGAATGGATTCGCTCTAGCTTCTGACAGGTCTTTAGCCAATGACATTCTCGACGCCACTTGCGCGGTACTAAGTCCCGGCATAGTCTCCGGCAGAAGGCTTGAGAGGAGCCTGCCTGTTGCGTCGAATTGCCTGAATCCCGCTTTTGCTGATGCGGTTGCTGCGGAAAAGATGCGAGGGTTTCGTATTTCCCGCTCTCCGGGTTTTTTGTTGCAGCAAGGTAGTGCGCCGGCTCTTCCTTCAAAAACTCCACCAGCTCTTCTCAGGTCAAACCGAAGAGTTCTGGGGCTGTGAGGAGAGAAGTGACGATCAACTTATCAAGATCGTCTAAGATCTTCCGGATCAGGGAATTGGAATGCTTGTGCCTTGGACTCTCAGGCTGCCCTTGCGGACGAAGGTGTCCTGCAAGGTCTTCAGAACCCTTTGACAAGGGGTGCATCGTCCATCCCTGCACTTTCGGTGCAGAAAGTAGCGCGTGCCACGAACGCGCGGACGCGACGTTCAGGCAGTGGCAGGATGTGGGGAGACCCTAGCGTGGGAACGATGGACGACTCCTTCGCTGCGTCAGCTCCCTCCTAGAAACCTAGTCCCGACCTTCCAAAAAAAAAACAATGGATGCGTCCTCAGGTCCAAAACACTTCCTATAAAAGATCTCCAATTGCCATGTATCGAACACATGCGGAAAACCATCGAATTACAGTAACCGTTCTTAGTGGTTTCGGGTTCTGAACGGGTCTTGCAGGCGCCACCGCCTGCCTGGCTGGAAAGTACCTCTTCCAATTGACCGGGATGCCCGAAAGCACCTTGCAATTCCTCTTGCTCACCTTGCATGTGCCGTATAGATCAAGTGTCCTTCTTGCTCACCTGATGTCACCTGTTCCGGCCATGCGTGGCCCTCCCAAAACACATGCACGCGCAACCAACACAGCGGAAGACTCGACGCGGCTTCATCCCCTCTCCGCCGCTGAGCGCTCCGGACCAAGACGCGGCCCTTGCAGCCTGGCGAGGTGCTTTGGAGGGAGGTTTGACTCATGTAATCAACAGTCAGGGAGGTTTGGATGAGTTGACACTCCAAGGAGCGGAACACTGAAGAACAGGATTGTTCCTAGTCATGAGTTGACACAAAGGAGTGTTCCCAGTTGCTCTCAATTTGCCAGGATCACATCAAAGGCTTCCCGTGTCCAGAGGAGGAGCCCCCACAGGGGAAAAGAAACATCACCAAATCCACACAACCAGCATACAATAGCCCTAGCATGCCTATAGCCTTCAAGTATACAAATAAACAGATGGTTGACCTGGTGTCACACATTAAATCAATACATTTGTCAAAAGTCAAAACTCCTTAGTGCCATCTCATGGTGAACGCGGGATTCAGGCCATTAAAATCGATGCTGGGCCACGACTCCTTGGGTATGGCTACTACATGCATGGCCATGAATCCGTGGGCCGTCGTCACTGAGGTGGCAAAGCTGGCGGAGGTGGAGGTCAGGTGGGGTCACCCGCACACCTCCAACCAATGAGAACGACCCTATCCATCATTGACCCTGTATCGCAGGGGTTTGGAACCCTGGTCGTTGCATGCTGCATGTTGGTTTGAAGAACATCGAACGAATACGACTCATCGAAATTGGGACCTGAACCAGCCCTTCACCCGGCTCAGGGTCCATTCTTAGGCTAGTTACCCTATATACCGGTACCCACCGGATCAAGCACATTCGCGGAGACCTGTCCAAGTAGATTTGAGTCAAATGTGAGCCAGTCAGTAGCTCACATCCGGATTCCACCCACCATTCTATTCAATAGGCGGAATCCCGCACAACGTTGAACTACAAAACTACCAAGAGAGGCAGCCAGTGACCTTATAGGACCCGGAAAACCTGGGGTACCCTGGCCTGGGTCCCAGGCGAAGGGCGTCGGGTTCTGACCCACCCTCCGGGAGACTGGGATAGTCGAACAGGAAAGCGTCCTGACCCACCGAACAGTTGGCAGGTCAGCTATTTCTTTGAGTGCAGTTCTTCTCGGAGACTTCTTTCCCGCACGCCACGACGTGCACTTGCTTCGCACCGCCCCCACCGTTCCACACGTTCCTCGGAACCGAAGGCGCTCCGATCCCGTGAGAGGGTGGGAGCACTAAGGCGGTCGGCCTCCGCTGTAGATCTCTTCTTCGAAGTTATAGGTGTCGTTGATCGATTCACCTGAGGACAAGGGGCCATGCGGGGCCATCCAAGATGAGGTGGTGTGGCTCGTCCCATCCAGGGGCAGTGGATGTGTAGCTGGGGCACCCCGGAACCGGCACCCTCCATGGAGTCCGCACCCCGTCGAACGTGACTGCTGGGAAATATGTTCAGGTGGCAATGCATCGCAGGGACGCGAACCTTTAAACAACGGACAAAGCACTATAGTAAATTGATGGTTTGCGCCACTGTCCGGCAGCACTGCACAGGTTTCGTTGAGGATTGGGAGTTCTTGTCGATCAAGTGATGGTGCTACAGGATGGCCATGGATTTCATCTTCGTCATGTCTCACTTTTCATCGCGAACACGGCCACCCTGGCTTTTACCAAGGACATACCTCTATACCTTCCCCAAAACACTAACATGGGCGCGGGTAAGACCAATAAAATGAAACAACATCAAACCAAATACGTGAAAACACGAAGCCAAGCACCAAGCCGTTGATGTGAAAACATCTGCGTGTTCACCCTGGTCAGTTCCTCCCCCGCTCTTGACGGAGTTTTGTTCGATCGATCTGCCTTGCTTCAGCGTACGGAAGATCTTGTCGATCTGCCGGGTTGAGCGTGAGAAGACCAGGGAGGACCAGGGAGGGCAAGGGGCTTCAAAGAGACTAGCACTTAACCAGCACTTAACCACGGGAGACCTCTCGTGGTTAAGGCAACCTGGCCGTGATTAAGGTAACCAGGTCGTGGTTAAATGCTACTCTCGGCTTCAGCAGAGCCTTGGCGATACCTTTTTCTTGCCTTGTTATTCGAGCATTCTCTCTTGTCTAGCAGCTGATTGCTTGTAGAAGTGTTTTCTTTTGATTGTTTTGAAACAAAATATTATAGAATCATATAGAAATATTTAGAAGACCTTAAAAGGTTTCACACAGTTTCACCACCTCTAGGGAAGCATGTGCAACATATGAACTTGCTGGGTGGTCACAAGCAACCAAAAAATGTTGGGCTCCACAGGGTGAAGTTCGAAGAGTCCAAACTCGACAAATCCTCAGGTCTTCCATGGTCTTTCCGGTCGATCCTTGTTTTCACCACGGCGCCGAACTCGAAAGTTGCAAGTGGTGACCTCTCTTTAGTTATTGGCACGCTCTTTTGGTGGGTGTTTTGAGGGCACATGGGCGCAACATGCGGCGCATGTTGCGCGGCTGTCGTGCCGGAGTTCTATTCCTGGAGTGTTTGAAGTGTGTAAAGCTGACAGTTGCGGAGAACAAACATCATTGTACCAATGGGATCCTGATACTTTTGGCCACCAAATGCCACAAATCAACAGACAGTGGAAGTTCAAACCACCAGCAGTCACGGGGTGGTGTTTAGTCCCATCCAGTGAGTGGATGTGACAGGGGCACCCCTAACCTCCATGGATAGCACCCCGTCTTGTGACTGCTGGTATAGACTGAAAAGATATACCGATGCATGGTGATATCAAAGCGACATACTCTCGCGCCATCCTTTGTGTTCCAGGGATCCTGACGAACGTGCCATCCTGACTTGCGAAGATGGCTGCCAATTCCAGCTGGTGATCCAAAGGTTGGTCAGGACCCGACGCCTCTTCACCTATCCCAGTCGCGGTGGTTTTCCGGTACCTATACAGTCACCGTCAGCTACCTACCTCTCTTGGATTGCTGGACGTCCCCAGCCGCACCCGGTCGAAACCGAGCGTTCTTCGTCGAACCGTGCGGGGCATCGCGGTCCAATGCGGTCCATCCAGCGGCCTTCTTGGTGAGAGGCTCTGGTGGTTTCACGGCAGGCGTCTTGATGGGGCCTCGGCCCAAGCACGCGCCGCGCGGCCGCGCGGCGGCGAGGCGAAAAACACGTCAAAGACGGCACCAGATATTGAAGCTTCACGCAGCGAAGAGGCGGATGGAGCTTTTAGGATGGAGCTTTCGCTTGACTGTGGACACACGTCATACAGTCACACACTCTGACACTTGTATTCAGTTACACTCAATTCCCAGGTCAAAAATGGTGAGGGAACGGCATGGCGAGAAGGTCAGTTCACTTGAAAGGTTGAACAAACTGTTTGTGCGTGACTGCAGAACAAGCGGCGCAAATCAGCTGTAAAAGTGGTTGTTGGAAACCTGTTTGGGGGGAAAGTATCGTGAGCAACAACCATGGCACCAAAACACAGCAAGGAAAAGTGGAGATGCGATTCGTGGACATGCGATCCCATGGTTTCAGGGAAAGGCCGAACAACTCATCTGGCTTGGCCATGAATCGGCTTTGAAGTGTAAGTCTGCGTCAAGCTGTGGGTTATGGCACCAGGAGACCATGCTTTTGATCTACCTGGGAGGTCGTTCGCTACATGGTGGACCAGGGCACCAGGTTTTGACCCATCCCCATATCAGACTGCATGGACGAATGCATGGCAATCTGATCTTGGACTCCTTTCAAGCAAGGCTATATCATCATCTGAGTGTCAGGTCGGTCTATCGTCTCCATCGTTTTGGATGGCTGGAGGTCGCAAGTTAGCACATCTCGGCATGTCCCCCAAAATAAATAGATAGAAACGGTGTCCAATACATTTTTAGTGCTGTCCTATGTGGGGGGTCATTGGGGGTCCATAAAAGTAGGACGAGTCACATCTAAGTCGCCCCCCCCGATGACGGCACCGCGGTTTGGGGGCACCGGACGGAGGCGTTCCCTCATGGCGCTCATCTTGTTCTGCACCGGAGCCGGTGGAGCCTCCGGCGCCTGAAGAGGCGGGAGGGGCGGGAGGTGCCTGGGGAGGTGCCCAGTACAGCACAGGAAGAAGCACCAATTATTTTGGGATTCCATGCGCTAGATTTGATGGGCTGAATCAGGATTTTGGAATACACAACCAGGTCTATACCTCTTTTTCTTTGATGCTCTTGGACGTCTAGGGAGCTAGGCTGAGCTAGGGGCATTCAATCCAAAAACCAAGATGATGCCTGCTACATATGGGCTTGGTTGGACATGGGGCCGCGGAGGCTTCGATTTGTCTTTTAACTTTCCCTGGCGCAATGGCATCATAGGCCTGAACCTGCCCAGCACCATCAAATCTCGATCACTGGTCCGGTCTATAGTATTTTTTTCCCAATTCGCCACTTGCTTCGTCGACGCAGGGCTTTGATCCAAAACAGAAAGGTTTGAATCCTAGCCCTAGCACTTCCAATGGGTGCCCTGTCTGGAGGCCAAGGCCAGAACACCCAAACAGGATGTTGGATGATTTGATACCCGCGTCTTCTGATCTTGTGAGCACATTCCAAGACCTGGGCCCGTTCTGGGGTCAGCTGTGTCCTGGTGACCGGCCAAGAGGTCCGGAAATAGCAAGAAATCACTGCATGGTTTGGTCCAAAACCTCAGTTGTGAGGGTCAAAGCCCTTAGTCCTTAGTAAGCCTTAGTCCAGTCAGGGCAGCCTGACTGAGGAATCAGCATGTCTCGTGGTGTCCACCATGGTGGACACTATGGGTGGACTTATGGGGAGATATGATTCAGACCACCCCCACACACATCTGCACGGGTAGCGTGAAGGTTGTTCAAAACAACTTGTAACTTGCTGGTTGGTCAACTTAACACATATGAGATATGAGTCAGTGGGACTCATCATCTCAAGATATCTCAGTCAAGTAAAGGTTGAGAATCAACATCTCGAAGTTCCTCTTCCGATCACCTAGTCAGACCATCTTCATCCATCGTCTTCCAATACTGGATCAAAGATACATGTCTCAGGCCACAAGAAATTAATGAATTGCAGAAACCCATCGAGAACCAGAGTCGAATCCTCCCACAGGTCATGACTTGAGACCGAATACAGGGCCTAACAACCCTCAAACTGGGAGACCAGACTTGGAGACTTAGAGGTCCCCACCATGGATTGAACCCCCAACCCACCATGGCTTTTTTTACCATGTTTTTTTTACCAAACGTAAACCTGGTGATTCTTCCATCACTTCTTCCGACCTCCACCCATTCGCCTGCGGCGGCCGGGGCTCCAGTGCACCCTCGACAGGTTCGTCCGGCCTCCAGGTTCGCCCCGCGGACGGGTGACCCGCTCGTGACGACGCCCGACACAGTCAACACGTCCAACAATCGGAACGTGGAACCGATAGGGGGGCCCATGGAAGAAGACGCATTGGTTTGTCTAGAAGGGGGTCAGCTTTCATGGATTTCTCTTGGAGGGGAGGGGAGGTCACGCCGAGTCGAGTTGTGAGTTGTTGGGGCCATGCGCTAATGACGTCGGGCCATGCCCATCTGCGCTCTGGCTGACTGCGTCAAGAAGTACCAAGTCCCAAGTTCCAGAAACACTCCATGTACCCGGACTTTTTAGAAGTGGTCTTCAAAAGGCTCGATATATGTCTTTCAGGAATTTCCTGAACGCTTCCGTGGTGCCAAAACTGGCCGAACTGGACTTCTATAAGGGCAAGTGTTCTTCTTCAAGGCATCGTTGTCTTACAGCACATCATGGTTGATCAGGACCTGCCGGTAGCACTACGCAGGTAACACTGCAGAATGCCCTCTATGTATCTCCAACAAAGGTGACCCGTCACCTGGGATACCTATAGGATAGTCCTTTTCGGCTCCTTCCACCATTTCAACCTCTGCTGTGCAAGGGTTGGACTTCAACCGAACTCGGTCCAACTCGGACGCCCGGCAGGGACCTCCGTGGTGTCTGCCCGCACACATCCCTCCACCCGACCCATCCCTTCACCCGACCGAGGTATACCGAAGCCCTCCACTGCGTTTGGCGCCCGGACAAGCGCTGCATGTTGGACGTGGGAGTCGTGGGACCTGGGACTCGACAGTCGACGCGCGCGGAAGCCTTGGAGACTTGGACTCCAGGAGAGTTGGCTGTGGGGAGGGGGTCCAGAAGGACCACACATAACCACACCCATCGAACTCAAAAAGAACACATCAGACCCAGCAGGCAGGATTTGGAGGAGACTTGTACCCCAAGTGTGGGGTAAAGATCTGTCCCAGGACCCGCCTCTGGGGCCCAACCCCACGAACTTCTCTCTTTCGAGAGAAACCCCAAGAGTCCGCTGTTTGGGGAATAGAATGTGAAACACGAGTTCCAGGACCTGAAAAGTACGTGACCTTTTTGGAGTCGATCGCTTGTGACCTCTAAACAGGGACGAGCGATCGTGACCTCTGCCACTAGGATCTCAAGTTAGGTCACGTACTGAAGGTCCTGGTTGTTGTTACTTTGTGCCTTTTTTGGAGGGTTGGATGTGATGTTTTTTTGTTTTTTTTTTTTCGGGTTGCCGCTGCTGTGACGGGGCTTCGGCTTCTGGTGCGGACGACCTTCCAACTTCTCGCTCACAAAATGCTTGATACACCCTGGAAGAGACCCACATGGAACTTGAAATTATCGGACAGTGTGTCTTCCTTTTGAGGTCCATACTCATCAGGTTCCATGTGGGTCTCTTCCCGAGTTTGCCGCGCAAAAACACAACGAGGTCGAGCTGTCGAGCTGTCGTGCGCTGGCGCATCCAAATGAACTAGACCGTTCCAAAAGGACTTCGCGGCGAGAGGTTTCCCAGCCATGTTGAGAAGCTGAGCTAAGCTCCTCCCTGCGAGTCAAAGACTATACAAAGAATGGTCTGACTAGGGGATCTGAAAGGGATTTTCCTTTACCTCACTAAGCAAGGGATCTAGTCTTTGGACTTCCAGGGTGGTCTCAAAACTTCTCCAACTGTCAAGGCCTGGAGAAGAAGCTCAGTGGACACCTGTTGTAACTAAGTGATGTGGATCTTGGGAGGGCCCGAGCCTTCAACCGGAGATGACATCCACGCGGACTAAGTCTATGCTTCAACGCGTCCCGCCGGTGGATCAATCCAGGTGACACATGATCCCCACGTCCCTGTGGATTCAATTCCTTTGCACTACCGACCTTCCCAACTCTAAACCAAGAGAGGTTGAAGGACCCGAACTAGACTATCCCATAGGTACCCCAGGTGACGGGTCCTAGTTCAGGTCACTGGCTACCTCTCTTGGAAGATTCACCTGTCCTCAGACCATTCTTTTTCTCTTTGAGAATCCTGCGGCCCCTCCATACCGGTCGAAGCCTCCATGACCCTGTGTTGCTTCGGGCCTGGATTCTTAGGGCATGGTCTTAGGTCCATTTTTTGGACTCCCCAAGATATGGAAAAGACTGATTGAAGTAGTAAGAAAGGGCCAACACTTCTTCCAACTACCTTCCTGGCCTACATTGACCCCATGTCAACCACCCCAACTGAATTGGCCGCCAGTCCCAAACAGGTCGTTCTTGGGATATGCGGCTGACCTGCAAAAAGCGCTGCTCCACCGCACTGGCGCTGGCTGGACTCCCCAGCGGAGACTTGGAGTTGCTTGAGGATCCTGGACACTAAGTAAACACTCAAGTCATACATATATTCCCCAGAAGGAGATTTAACATGATTTAACCATCAGATTCAGAAACACTTTAAAACCATCACCTGAAGCAACACCAGCGGTCTCCGACTCTCCCAACTCCAACCCCCCCCCACCGCTCCAGAGACTGCACTCTCCGCTCCGCATCTCTCTATAGGCGTCGCTCCGTGCTCCCCGGCGGGTGGACTTCTTCGGCGAGTTCTCGGCGGACGTGGGACGCAGGATCTCATGGTAGCTGTTGATGGTATAGGTGTTGTCACATGCATTGAATGTTCTTTTGGGGTTGAGCTTGAGGTCGCCTTCGAATCTTACAAGCGTTGATTAAGGGACGGAATGGTGTTTCACCATGTTTCACCCTTCACGGGCTCCAGACCCCACTTCATGGAACACCATGGTCACTGCGGCACTAGCAGGATTGATCGTTGAAACCACGCCACGCCGCGTGACTGGAAAACGGTCCAGGCGGTGAACACCACACATGGACGGTCCGGCTTTCCGAACCCCCGCCGCGCACCGGTTCGAAGGTCGGAACGGTCGTGGTACAAATCTCCGTCACCGTTCCAAGGAGCCCCAAGAGTCTGCCAAGAGAGGTAGCCAGTGACCTGAACTAGGACCCTACTGGGGTACCTATTGGGAGTGACCTGAACTAGGACCCTACTGGAGTGCCTATTGGGAATAGTCTAGTTCGGGTCCTGAGCCACCTCTGGTGTAGCGAGAAGCTCGCTTGACCTCTCCTCGCCTTTCCCGTTCGGTGCCGCGACCACCCCCGATCCACGGTTCCGAAACCCAGATGGGAACCGGGCGAACGGGCATGGACCAGACTGGAAGACGAGGACATCCGTCTGGTGAACCCCGACGGTGGTGAATGTTCATCTTCCGGGGTGTATCTTCTTTGCCGTCTGCATTCCTGACACTACCCTTATAGAGTGGATGGAGAGTATCAATGGCACAAGCTACCCACCGAAAGGTGGTTTGGTTTATATTGGCTCCCAACCATTACATGGACAGATTGACCCGGGTTTTGTTGTGAAGCCCTTTGTATCTGTGTAAGAATAACAGTTGTTCGGGAATTTCAAGCCCTTAAATCCGTGGGCCAGGAAGCCGATAGGTTCAAAACACCCAATGCTGCACACATCATCGAGCGACTGACCGCGCGAGCGTTGGGGCTTCGCGAAACACCACAGAAAACACGAAAGTTCCGTCCGCATCATCCCATGGTAGACCAGAACTTTTGACACCAATCCGTCTTTTTACACTCAATGACCCACCCATGATGGTCTTAATCAATTGAATCAAGTTGAGATCACTATTGACTATGATGTCTATAATTTAGCAAGGATTTGCTATCCAGCAACCCAGGAAAACAGGATAAAACACACAAACACCAAGAAGGGGATCAATTCACCCACACGAAAACTAAACAATACATACAACATCATACAACAATCCCCCGGTGGAGCGAGCTGTTCACATTGTTTCACCAGGTGAGGCGAGCAACCCCATGGAGCTGCCCTCACAGCTTGCCCCTCCGTTGGTTTCCGCCATCTCGACTGCTCCGACCAAGAAAAGTGCATTGCGCTGGGCATGCGCTGGGCCCCCGGACTCCGGCTGAGCCAGAGTATCCTGCAGATTGAACTGTTTGAGGCGAGTTGGGGGCTGCATCAAAGGGTTGAGAGTCCCTCGTCAGTTGCGCAGAATTTTTCACACTCGCCTAGAAGTCCAGTTCGAGCATATATATACCCAAACACTCCATGTATGCCATATATGCCTACATTGACCCCCCAAACCACCCTAATGTAGGCATATATGGCATACATGGAGTGTCTGGGATATATATATATATCCTGGAAACCCGTATGATCACTTTTTTTTGATCACTATGGCCTCAAGCCGTATTGACCATTTTTTGTGCATATGCCGTATATGGGCAAGGACATCTCTCTGGGGGACTCTATGTTGTATGAATGGGAACTGTATACGAATATGGCCGTATACTTGCCATATTTGCATGCATATTTGGGGGTACCCGTATGATACTAGTATTTTTTCAATATGTTATTGAAAAAACACCGTAACCATATTCCAACATACTAGTGCGAATACTGCGTTGGAACACCCGAATATGGTACCCTATTGAGCCGAGAGAGGAGACCGTATATGCCCGTATTTGGGCAAACCCCGTAATGACCAAAATTAATGGTCAAATGCCGTATGACCAACAAAAAATTGAACATACTCTTTCTCAGGTATATATATATATATATGGGCACCAAAGTAAAGGAAGTTCCTCAAAGATCGGGTCGCCTCAAGTCTTGGACTTCCATGGGCTCACCCCACCCAAACCCTTTTTTGAGAGGATATATCATATATGCTGCCGTAGCGACAGTACCACCTGCGGCACTTCCAAAACAAATCCAGAAAAGTCTTCTTGGAGTGTTCATGTGGCTTCACGTCCCAGATCGGAAGTTGACGTCCTTTTCGATGCCTGAACGGTTGTTCACATCCCTCTCCGTTCGAATTACCTTCTAATTACGTTCAAGTGGCGCGAAAGAAGGTGTTCCATGAACAGTTGTGCGGAAGAACAATTCCCGTCCAATCTTACCTTCTATGATATTATGGGCAACAACAGTTGTCCCAGGGGTGCACCAGGTATGCACTACTATGCAGTACTATGCAAGTCTTACAGATTTGAATACGACGATTCCCAAATGATCCATCTAAGCAAATATGGCCTTCATTGGGTGGTGAATGTAAGGTCATACCTGCTTACATGGATCGTCTGTTATTTACATGTCCAGTGGAAGATCATCAGCACAAGGAGCTACAGCAAGAACATATAGCTACACTACCTTGTGACTCCATGACCATCACTAGAAATATCTAGAAACACTATATACACTGGGGAGTTACATCTAGTTACATCTACTAGTATCTACTAGTTACATCTAGTTACTAGCATCTTCTGTAGGTACCATAGCTCCGCACTTCAACAACTTCCCTCCTGACCTGCCACCCTACCCCGCGTGGCCGCCACGGCTCGCGGCGGGCCTCCATAGCCCGGAGCGTGGCTGCTGACCGCCTCAATGGGGAGCCTTGGAAGTGGCACAGAGACCGACGTCGAGCCAGGCCACCATTTTCTTTATCCATAGTTGTAAATAGCCTGAATCCCCAACAACCATTGTTGTACTAATCAGATCTAATCAGGTTTTACACAGTTTATATAGTACTACGAAACCAGATCAACCAGGGTATAGGGACTTGACCAAAAACATCCCAAAGCTGTCTGCGGGGGATTTGAGCCAAGAGTTCCGAGGGGGTAGCCTAGCTGCCACCATCAGTAGCCCGAACACTCTGACTGGCATATCTTAGATGCAAGTTTATGCCATGGAGTGCTTGGGTAGTAGGTAGGCCCCCACTCCAAAACCCCTCCAGAAAGTGGTGGAACTACTCCCTGGGAAAGGTTAGAATACTTCATCAATGAAAAAGTTCCATTCTCTCTGATCTATCCGATTCATCCTGTTCTAATCTGCCTCTGCATGAGAGCTGCTCAAGGAGAATAGCATCGAGTCTTCGAAATCACCTATCTTCATCGCCTGCCCTGAAAACCCTGATTGCAACGTTCGACACATCCACCGCGCAAGGTGAGCGTCCCCCTCCCATCTTCACCCGTGCGTGGACTGTCGCGGCTCAATGAGTCAAGAGCTTCATATTGTTGGAACTTCACCCCGGTTCCCCATATATCTAGCTCATTTTAGTATACTATAAGCTATAGAAGACACTCTCTTCAACCGTTCCAGAGTTCTACAACCAAGCAAACCAGCAGAGGTTGAAGAACCCTATAGACTATCGACCATCCAAAAAGGTACCCAGGTGACGGGTCCTATTGACGGTCACTGAACCTCCCTTGGAACTCACCACACTCACTCCATCTCACTCCTCTCTCAAGCCCTGTGCCCCCCAACACCTGAAGACCAACTAAGTTCAGTGACCTCATATAATTCATATAGGACCCGTCACCTGTACCGGACTGGCAGAGTCGAGCAGGACTCGGCTTCTGACCTACCTGTGTTGGCTTAGGCAACCCTCCCTCCCACCCGACGAGCCCGACTCCTCCGGGTGTCCCGGGCGTCAAGAGCCCGCCCTGCTTGCGGCTCGAGCCCGACGAGCCAGGCCTCGACCTCGAAGTGGGCAGAGACGGAGGAACGCGAACGCCCCTGCTCCCCCCAAAAAGGGTTCCGTTTGCCTTGGGTCCTGTCAGAACGGATCTCTTCTGAGAACGAGGTGGGGCAGATTGTTAATAACAATAGGAGTACGGTTTGAGTGTAGCGAATGGTCTTGTGAACCTCTTCCGGGGATTTCCGGGGAGCGTAGACAGACATCCAGCCTGCTGGCCTTTTCAGGTCTCCCATGCTGACCAGCCAGTCTGCTGGAGACCTCCATGTCACCCTTGAAAAAACCACACAATCCAATCTCCCTAGGTTCTTGAGCACCTTCTTGCCCTAAGTCCCTCCCAAAGGTTCCAACGTGCTCCAACCCTTGCACAACCAGTGGGTGTTCCAATCCTAGCCAAAATGGATGCAAAGAGTTGGACCTGCTTTTGTGGTCAAAGAGTTCCTTTGTAACGCCAGGGGTTCTTCAGAGCGGGGCCGGGACGCCTATGGCCTATGAGGCTATGAGCGACCAGGAAGCCTCACACGAGATCTGCTCGCCCCTCTGAGTTCGCATTCCTGTTCACCCATCTGAGATGCCTGGACGACGAAACCTCCCCAGTCATGCCGAAACTCCCAGCCGTCCAACGAATCCCAAGATGTGGGGGTGTTGATTCATCAACATGTCATCTACCAGTCAGCTGGACCTCAAGGAGGCATGATAAAAACATAGGTTACGTGTTGCTACGAACCAGCGTTGCACGACGGATTTTGGAGTACCAGGTTCTCGCCCTTCTCGCTGCTCACCGGTCGCTGAGGCCCCTAACATGTCAGAGTTGGTTGGGGTGTATCCTTGGCACGAGCCGGCTGGTCATAGATGTCAGCACCCGGGGATTCCAACCATGGTTTTACTTACAGTAGGGTTTAAAACAGCTTGGCCATTGTTGAAATGGCCATTGAAGCCCAGGGAGTAGAGATCCACGCCCTGAACTTCCAACTGCAACCGCCTCGTCCTGTTGAATTCAGAAACATCACGGGAGTGATTTTGGCCGTATCTGGCAGCCAATGCCAGTTCTGACCAGGTTTGGTAAACTTGGGAATGCACCCACCAGGACACCAGGACCTTCCAAGAGGTGTTTGCAAATAGCCTCTTAGAGCTTTAGGAGGTGTCCAAAAACCACCTGTTGGAAGGTCCTGGTACAGGCTAAATGCGATTGGCCCAACTAACCCCCCATTGCCCCAGGAAAAGGTCCCCCGAACCCAGCTTAGCCCCACAGCCCTCCGGCCATGGGTGACTGCCCAGCCAGCTTCGGTGCAACTGTACTGCATCCAAGTGGTCCGCAACAACACTGAGTGTACTTCTGGCTCGGGACTTGTACTTTCCGGCTGGTCCTTAAACCTCTTGGTTTGGACATGTGGAGCTCCTACGGGGCTCGAGATGCGGAGGAGACTCCAGGACATGCTTGGCCTGAACCGTCAAAAAGCAAATAGAACTATACATCCCAGTCATTTGTCCACCAGGTTTGTCTACACATGTCTACACTCCATACGGTATCGCCTGCTTTGAAACGGACTGTCATGCCGAGCAAACATGGTTTTAGTCTTTAACCTCTGGAGCAAAGAGATGCGAAGAGACATGACGTGACGAGGGGACTTAGATCGGGTGTTGTAAGGATCGAGGTTATTAGGAGGTCTTGGGACTTGTAGGGAAGGACCCACTAGGGCCCAACAGGAACTTGTTCCTGGGCTCCCCTCCTCGTCAAATCCAGCAGTTCTGGGGTGTCCAACCAAAACGAAGTGGACACCCTTTCCTGGTCATAGGGTCGTCCAAGGGCTCAACCTGAATCCACCAGGTCCACCTCCAACCCAATCTCCGCCCAAACCCCAAGCGATCCAAGCGACCCTTCTCCGTGGTCCCTGGCGCCTCGGAATCGGCTCGAGGATCGGAATGGTGACGTCCAGGAGCCCCAAGAAGCGAAAAGAGGAGATGAACAAATGATTTGTCCAGGGACGGGGATGACGCCGTCATGGTTTTGGGATGGTTTTTGGGGGGTCAAAAAATGGAGACAGCCAACTTCGCTGTGCACTGGGGTGAAAATAGATCCCTATCATGCAATGTACTTGTACCATCCGATAACCACCCTTGGGGTGCTGGAAGGAAGAGTCTTAACTTATAGGTTTTTCGACCATGCCTGGCAACTCCCCAGTGCTAGGAGGACGTTCAGACCTTCGTGGGTTCTCGGAATCTCTTTCTCAAGCAAATCCTTAGGACAAAAACATCGAGTGCGATCCCCAATCCAGAGTCAATTAACAGCCTCTCAGGACCACCCCCCTGTGTTAAGACTCTCTCGGCAATTTAGTGCCTTTTTGAGAGAACCCACTCCCATATTATGGAGGATCCTTAGTCTTGAAATCTTGAAGCAGGTTGACATTTGCCCGAACAAACGACACCAGAAAGAGCAGAATCATGCGCATGGCCCGCATGGCTCCGCCAGGATCCCCAAAATCACATCCAAAGCCTCCATGGGTTGGTGAAGGCAGGAGCCCCGCATGGCTCCACATCCAAAGCCTTCCGCCTCCAGTTAACCCATATACAACCCCCCACGGAGAACGGGCGGAGATTCTCCGGGCTGGAGAACCGGATGAGGCTGAACTCGCAACCGACTGGCCTCGTCCGGCAGCCGTGTCATGCTGTTGTTGCGCTTCATGCTACCAGACTTGGACCTAAGTCTCGCTGCCACCATCAGGGCAGCAGGGACGGGGGGAGGGAAAAACGCAAAAAATTGAGGGGGGGAGAGAGGGAGACGTATTCTGGGTGGGATTTCCCAACCGGGGTTCAATTCGAGGAGTTGTATACAGTAGTTTTGCCGTGGGTCATGGTTTGGTCCACAATGTTTGGTCATGTTTGGTTGGGTTTCTGCACTGGATTTGGCCCAACAGGAGCCAATGTGATGCCTTTAGATGTGCTTAGTCCCATCCAGTGAGTGGATCATGGACACCCCTAACCTCCATGGATAGCACCCCTTTGTGACTGCTGGGAGTGATCCGCATCGTGCCTCATCATTCGATCTCCAACTCACAAAACTCACCCGGGTCACCACCCGCTTCTAACCATTTAGACTCCAACATTGGAAGGACGCACCATGACGCACCGTCTCCATTTGTTAGACGGCCTCAGGATATCTCAACTTTCAACATTATAAGTACCGCCATGACGTTCTTTTGTGCGGCCAAATTGCTTTGAGCGGGTCTCACGCACACTCCCAAACCCACCCTGGAAGCAAAACAAACCAACATCAGTACACGACCACGATCCTCAAAAATTTTCAAAGATCAACATTGACCAGGCCTCTTCTCCCCCAATTCCGCCCGGACGTTGATCTTTGAACAAAGCGGTTGATCAACCATGATCTTCCAATTCCAAACACGACTGATGGGACGGGACTGCCATCTATGCCGCCCCAGACAGACCCCCCTGGCACCAGCCCTGGCCGTTTGCAGTCCGGCAGTCCCAAAAAGGTCACCAAATCTGGGAATTCGCGACCCAAATCCGGGGTGAGGTCCCAAGGCAGTCCCATGCCTTGGTCTGAGAATTCCTCACCCCGGAAGCAAATCAAGGCGGAACACCTTCCGCACCGTTATCGACTCGGTCGTTCTCCGAGGCGCGGCGATTCGGCCGTGGGCATTGGGGAGGTGGGTCTGGAGCCAGGCGTGGTGGGCCTCGGTAGGACCGAAAGCGGGTTCGACCCTTGGTGAAGACTTTGGGAAGACCTGGTTTCGTAGTCGATCAATGGTTGTTTGGAAGGGCCTATTTCAAAAACGCGGTTGGAATCCCAAGGCCACGGTCTAGTCAATCGTCCGTTTGGTGCCCCTCTGGAATGGTTAAAGTTAAAGGTGAAGAGTGTCCAATGAGAGCCTTCTTTGATGGAACCAAACAAATGGCACCGAAGAGAATGCTGCTGGCGCGCTGGGAGTTTTGGGTGGTCATAAACGACGCAACTGTGGGCAAAACCCTCAAAATATGCTGGTTTAGAGTGGTGTATTTATAGATTCAGATGTGTTTAGAGTTTAGATGTTCAAGATTCCAATCATGGATTTGGAGAGAACCTACCCCACAGACCAAAACTGCACTGGCTAAGCAATAGCGTTGAGCTAAGCAATAGCGAGGCAGTTCGTTGGTCGACGAGTTCCACTGGCCAGTGGCCGAGTAGTGTTCCACTGGCTCTTTTTTTAATATCTCTTTGGTCAGCACTATAGGAAAAGTTTAGACCTCTCTGGTCAGCAATGGCATGCTGTAAGACAACACTGAGTGATAACCCCATTTGATCTCTATTCTCCCGTTCCTCATGGCGTCAAACCACTGAGTTCCAAGACTTTGCAGAAGTCCTAAACATCTTAGCCCGAAAGGACCCATCAAGGACCTCCCACCGCAACCGCTCCATCTGGGTCAGTCCTACGCTCCTCGTCTCTCTTGGTCGGTGCAACGCTCCGTCTCTCCTTTTGTTCTGCCGCCCTGAGCGACGTCAGAATTCGCTGAAGGTCCTGGCGGAGGTCCAAAGGTATTGTTCGAGAGGTAGCCAGTGACCGGGATAGGGACCCGGAAAACCTGCATTACCAGGCCCCGGCAGAGTCGAAAGGCGGGTTCTGACCCACCTGGAGTTGCTGTTCAATGCAGTTCGGGAGATCCGAACCGAGCCGAAGGGCCTGGGGTAGTTTTGTTTCAACTGTCCTACTTGCAAAATGCACATCTGCACAGGCAAAAAGAATAGCAAACAGAGGCCTCCACGGCCTCTTTGAAGAACACCACGGAAGAACCCAGTTTCTTCCCCTATGGATCCAAAGCAGAGTTGCGAAGATCTTTGGGCGCTTAGTTCAAGTTCGGCTCCAGTTCCTTGTAAACCTTCCATGGCCTGGACTCCCTCGACTAAAGCCTAGCAAAACAAACCATGCCACATCTCACCTGATCATTGTTTCTTTTTGCTGCTCGGGTCCTATACACAAAAACAGAACCTGATGAAGGACTAACATCAATCACCCTCACTGAACCCAAACCCGAACCCAACTGCCCCCCCCCACACACACAAAAAACTCCACTAAACCTGTACCTATATAGTTACATCTGAATCTAAGGACTGCACCCTCTTTCCACTGCAAACCATCCCTACAAACCACCCCACCTCACCCCACCGCTGGCTCGCCGCTCCTCGGGCAGAGGAAATTCCGCGCGGAAGGGCGCGCCGTGGAGGTCTTGCAGCGCCACGGTGCGGCAGTGGAGGAAGGTGCGGCAGGTGAACCTGCAGGGGCTGTGGAGCTGCCAAGATCGGACCTCCGACCTAACCCAAACACGACCTGTCAGGACTGCCAGTCCGGACTGCAGTTCCGGCCAGGGGTGCTTGAAAAGGGGGGTCAATGGGGCGGCATATGTGGCAGGTTGGGTGGTACATCTATGGGATGGGCGGCCATGACTCTTGTTGGGGAGGCTGTGATGTGAAACACCTCTCCGTGATTTTGCATGTGCTCAAGCATCCCCAGAGCATCCATGGGACTGGAAGATCTGTCGAAGAACAGGGGAACTCTTTGGGCACCAAAACGTTGCAGGGTCGTGGAGGCTCGAGCCGCTCGAGCAAAAGGCGGGTTTTATTGATGTGTTATGATTTGTTGAACAATGTTGAGCAGGACCCAGCATTGGTTTCAGGGAAAATTGGCAGGAAACTGGTCAGATCGGGGCTCCATCCCGAAGTGCGAATCATCAATGTCTTCGGGTGAATCCGGCCAGGCTGCCACATGGAAAGCACTTCTTAAGTTCCATTTCCTGTCATAAGAAACTCCATGGTGTCAAGACTCTTGACCCTAATACGGACGTATCCTATTGGTCATGTAGCCAACCCTTCAACTCTTCCATACATGGACGGTGCGGTCATTGTGAAGCCCGTGCAAGTGAAACACCCGCTTTGAAGTTCCGCGTGTCCTTTTTGCCTTTGCTTTGACCCAGCAGGAGAGCTATGACCAGGCTGGATAGCTTGAAAAGATCAACGTCAAAGGTCGAAGGCGCATGGTGTGGGGTGAAAACGAGGCGACTCGAGGTTGAACAGCTCAGGTTTTTTCGACCGGAACATCATCTACCAGAAACTCTTGTACCTGGTTTTTCGCCCCCACAAATCTGTGGGTTTCCTGTAGGTGTACTCTGCGAGCCATTCTGGTAACAGCCCTTTCTGGCCCCTGCAGGGTCCTATAAGGTCTCTCGACCTCTCTTGCTTTTTGTTGAAACTGGATGGCAGCACTGTGACATTTACCAGGATGTGCCAAGGATCTTCTTGAAAGTCCTTTCTCTTGATGTTCTTCAAACAACTTTGTGACATGAGCTTTTGCAAAGATCCCGCCAAAGAAGCCGAGCACCCCCAAGAATGGCATCAGTGGTTCATTTTCTCTTGTAAATGATTGATGTCCAACTTATACCAGCTGCTTCCAATGTGGTCGCCGGACAACCCTACACGATAGGTCTCCACATGTCTCCACATCGCTATAGCCGCTATAGTAAAAGAACGTCTCACATCTTCTCACCCCTTTTTTAAGAGGGGTAGCCAGTGACCGTAAAATACCGTAAATAGGACCTGGTAACCTGGAGTACCACACTGGGCGTCGGGTCCTGACCACCTCTTGGTCTCTGGGTCACTGTGCGAAGAAGCAACCACCGCATCGAAGCAACCACGCCACCCACCCAACCTGCCGCCCCTTCGCACGACCGGTCGACCTGCTGGGGTCGCCATAGCTTCGGTCTCCCACCAAGGGCAGTCCCACAGATGCCAGGTGTGCACCTGATCCGTTCCGAGCCGGAGCAGGGTGGAGAACACCATGTGGGTGGTGGTTTTTCCTTGCGGAAAGTGGGCGTGGGGAGTGCTATAGGCCCCTATACTCCATGGATTTGCCTGGTCCAGGAAAGGGAACAGATCCGTCATCTTCCTGGGATTTGACCCAGTTCGGGACAACAAAATCACCCATTCATCCTTGGCTCCAAAGACGGGCTGGTGCACGACGGAAGACCGAAGACGGGAGGATTAGAGAATGCCCCAAGAGGAATTGGAGTGGGTCGACAAAATTGAAGCAGCAAGAAACATGGTTAGATGATGTGAAATGGTCAGGCCTTGGCGGCCTTGGCTGGTAGCTGCTGGAGTGGGGTTCTGAACGGTAAGGGGTCACCATGGTAGTAAGAACACCTTCCAGAGCCTTCCAACATTGGAAGTGCTCACCGTCCAAAAGTTCCACCTTCGTGTCTTTTTTTGCGAGAACTGGCCTGTCAGGACCAAATCGTTTGCCAAGGGTTAACATGACAAGGGGTATAGTATGGTTTAGCAGTATAAATATCCTTTACGAAAACTTATGAGCCTATTCAGGGTTCTGCGGACCCTAAGGGGCATACCAAAGAGAGGCCACCTGTGAGAAGTCTGCCACCCAGCAGTTCCAAACAGGTGCCTCTGACCCACTCACTGGATTGGCGAAATTGATGGTCAATTCCTTTGGAATCCTTTGAAACTGCTAGACTCCTAGACCTTGGAATCCTGTAGTTAAACTATGTGTTTAGTATTTTTCTTTTTTCCCCCTTGATGCGGAGGCACGGATTTGATGCGTCCGGCCGGTTACTGGGCACACCCGGAGCAAGCACAGCACCTGGCGTTGGGGCTTTGGCTGGCTGCAAATGCAGCTTCACAAGAAAAAACACGCACAACAACCCCTCTCCCCATCCCAAAAAAACCGTCACCCTGAACAAAACCAGGGAAGTGGTTTGAGTTATGAAAACTTGACACCTATTTATTCCAACGTGCTTGCACTATACTAGCTATTATAAACTGGCCCTAAGTAAGGACACGCAGGATGTCCACGCTCCATCAAAGAGCTCTCAACATCTACAAATCCAGAGTTCAAGAGGTCTTGAGTCACATTGAGACCGAGGCAGGTCTTCACACCCAAAAGAAACTAAAGGCCTAGAGAGGGGTCGCGCTCTAGAGGACTATAGAGGTTTTTCTGGCTTTAGATCAGGGTCTCGAGTCTCGAATTCTAGAGTTTGAGAGGCGTATCCCATCTGATCCAGAGAGATCTGGAGGTCTAGAGACTCTAGAGTGGAGTGGTCTAGAAGGATTGAAAAACTGAGATGGATTCTTGAGAAGCTTTGGGCCAGGTCGGCCAGGTGTGAGGGCACACACACACACATGAAAGATCATGAGAGCAGCACAAAAAAGCGGCACCTGCGCAGCAAGGGTGTGCCTTTTGAAGTTCATCACTTCTGAATTTTTGGGGTTCCACGTTCGGAGACCTTCGGTGTCCCGCACGGCAGCGCCCTGCAGCGGAAACCGAAGAGAGCCTGAACTCACGCGGCCGGAAGCAGAAACCTCACACGGCCGTCCGGTTTCACACAAGTCGGCCAGGGGCCGACTTGTAAAGCGAGGCGAGTCAGAGTCGGGCGAGTCGAAGAGAGGGAATCAAAGGAGGCTTGTCCTGCAGCAACTCTTTGAGTCCGTCCACGGTGTGGAGGGGCAATTTCAGGCATCCAGGGCGGTTTTCACGACGGTCTTCTTTCCACGAAAGAAATGGAAAGCATCAATGGTGAGCTGTGATTCTTCCTGCCCTGGCAAACCAGTACATGTTTCTTACCTTTATGGCCACTCAACTGAGGTGCCCACCTTGCCCTGGGCTGGCAAACTGGGAGCAGTGGACTGTCCACAGTGAGATGGTACGTCCACCAATGCGGTCATCACCTCTGTAGGGTCTGTCGGCACCATGCTTGGGGGAAGCCAACGGAGAGTTGGCGTCCTGTCCACGGGCCCACTGTCTAAAGAGCTGCACGGTGGAAACACAAGCCCACAACTTCTCCTGGCAGTGGCTTCAGCTTGAAGTACTGGGAGGCCATGGAACTCGCCGTACTTGGGCCAAAGTGGAAGACCCAGTGGAGCAAGGGCCATTGCAAGAAGGACGGGAGGGAGGAGAAAATAATGACAGGACAATTGGGCATTCTATCCTTTTCATTGTTCCATGTGCCTTTCCTCTTCCTTTCCTTTTGCCTCGTTCCTTTTCCTGTCCCATTGTTTTTGCCTTTCCTTTTCTTTTGCCTTTAATCTGTTTCTTGTTCAACTTGTCCCTTTTCTTTTCCTTTCCTCGTCCTTCTTTCTGCTTTGGTGGTCATTGGTCGAGAAGAGCAGTTGGCTGCCCCAGCTGACTTGGAGAATTCACGAAACTTGATGCTCCCAGATAAAGGGCCACAGCTCCTTAATTTGCCACATGTTTCTTGCCTTTCACCTTCACCCGTGACCCACAAATGTATACAAAGTAGTCTGTCATGGCTTGTCCACAACCCTAGCCTTCCAAGAAACAAATCAGAACATGGTTGGCCGTGGTGTTGTAGTCCAAAACCCTTATGCAAAAAACAAACGTTTTGGGTGAGACCATGTTTAATCACTGGTAGGCCAGTAGTCCTACAAACAAGTCCCTTGGCCCTCCTGGATCCCTGACATCTCTGTGAGCCAATCCCAACGAACTTCTTCAGCTCCCAGATGCCACATCATCGGTCCCAGTCGGACTTCTTCAGACTTCAGACTTCCCAGCACTGAAGCTGTTCACCCCTCAGAATTCCTGGCCCTACCATTGGTACACTCCCGAAAACTCACATGGACCCGGGTCCGTCCTGGTCTCCTGGAAGATTGTTTTCCTCTATCAACCAGTGGCTTTCAGGGTCCATGTTAGTCTTCCAGGGTGTAAGTTATTTTTTACAGTGTTGCGGAACAACCATGGGTTTGCTAAGGATTTTAGAATACACCAGGATGCACCTGTTCATCCCCTTGCCAAAAAAACGGCTGCACCTGCGACGCACTGGTCCCAAAGACCTCGATGACTTCATACTCCGTCCGCGCCTCGCCAGTTCAAGTGAGCAAGGATGCGAGGGCTTTGTAACAAAAAACATACCAGCAGTCACAAGACGGGGTGCTATCCATGGAGGTAGTCGGGGTGCCCCTGTCACATCCACTCACTGGATGGGACGAGCCACACCACCCCATCTTGTGACTGGTGCAAGGATTGAGGGGGAGAGTTGCCAGACTGACAAGTCCAAGAACCGTCAATGAGCCTATATATGATACACAGCCGGAAAAAAGGGCCGTTCTTTCCTGGCCCCGACATCTCCGGTCGCCTCCTTTCCACGTGGATGATTCACCACGCGTGGTTCGCCAATGGAGGGGCGTGAACGCTGCAGCCTCGAGCGGCCGGCTAGGGCGACGTGTGGAGATGTACGGCGTAGACTGTTGACTAGTGAACCCATGTGGTGAACCCCCCATTTGGATTGCAACAACCTCTTGAATCATCTTGAATCCACAGTTTGCGTAGACTCTTGAGTCCACCTCTTGGGCATGTCAATGCAGCTCGTGGAGGTGTGGAAAAACATGGAAAGCCCAAGCAGCTGCTCCCAGCCCCTCCGAGCTCGCACATCACGCACTGCGCTCGCTGCCGGGGATGGTTGTAGCTGGTTTGGGGGGGTGCTGAACGTAGGAATGCACGCATCACGTCGCACCGTCGCGTCCACGCGCTTCGCAGGGACCAGGGATCAGGTGCACAGCACGACGACGTGGAAACTGATCCAAAAGCTTGGAGTACGCGGGGCTGTTTCCGTTCAGAACCATCAGAACCAGCAGCAGTTTGGCTTAGCAAACCCGCACCCTGACTGTTGGATACATTGAAACACAAAAATTAATTCAATAACTAGCAATAACTGGTTCTTCAAGGGTGGGCCCACATGGGAGTCTGAAATTCACCCCCGGTTCCAACGCTCCTTCACATCCTGTTCAACCCCCGCGCCTGGCGCCTGCTAAGCCTCCCTACCGTAGGGGTGAGTCAATGACCCGGCGGCCGGATCTGGCCGGCGGAGTGCCGCAGCAAAGGCACAGGTATTCCTTGCTCACCTGGAAGCTGCGGGATGCCAACACGCCGCACGGTTGGGGTTGGAGTTCCGGTGGCTGAGACCCTGCTGTAGCCGGCTGTAACTGTAGCCCTACTCATTTGACCGTTGGAGGTGGGCTGAAAACCCAAGGGCGTGAGACTGAGTTCAAGCTGTTTATATCCAACAAGTTCTTAATCAGATTTCTTAGCAGAAGGGTGACTTTGGATCTGTGGCAATGATGCGCCACAAATGTGCATAGATTCCATATATATATATATATACTGTATATATTTATAATTAGATCGATGATGAGACCTTCTACATGGGGACCCTCGTACACTCGGCAGCAAGAAATGTGTTTGACAAAAATGCCTTTAACATCTTTAACATGTTGTCCCTACCACTGTCCTACCCAGACACTCCATGGGACTGCCACTGGGACTGCCATATGCCGATCAGTTGGGGGTGGTTGAACAGGGGTCAATGTAGGTAAATATGCCAGTCCCATGGAGTCTCTGGGCTATCCGAACCAACCAAGAGAGGTAGCCAGTGACCTGAACTAGGACCCTACTGGAGTGCCTATGGAATAGTCTAGTTCGGGTCCTGACCCACCTCTGTTGGAAGTTGCCCATCCGAAGCACCGAGTCGCCTGAACCGTCAGACCGAGTCACCTGATCTCCGACGTTGGACGTTGGATGCATCCTTGTCAAGCCCAACATTCAGGGCTTTTGCGGCTGCTACGCTCCCCGGAAGTCACATGGTTACGTGGAGAATGGCCTCGAAAGGAAGACCATGAAATCCACTACAAACAGGTGGTGAACTCCACGTAACCATGTTAGCTCCAGGGGGAGTATACTTCCCGAACTATTTATGCATGTAAGCGGAAAGCCACCGGTTTGTAGAGGAAACGGGTCTTCCAAGGGCCCAGCTTCCACTACTCGATTAGTTCATGAAGTGTAGCCGCAGCCCTTTCTTTTCTTGAAACAGGTGCACACCTTAAAAGGAACTCTTTCCTTCTGACAGGTGGCCGATGGTCAGAGAATCTGCTGAGTGGATCCTTTTCAATGCCCGAGTCGAATCTGTCAGAACGATTGCCCCGATCCGCCTCCGGGCGACTTGGTCAGCGTGACCCCACTACCATCCTACATCCGACATACCCAGCCTGTGAGGTCTCCATGCCACGCTCGCGCTCCAAAACCCGTTCCACCTTCCCACAGCTGACCCACGCCCGCCCACTGCGCCTGCTGCGCGGCAAACTGCGCCTGGAGCCAGGCCAAGCTGCCAGATGCCGCGGAGTCAGACCCCACGGCCAAGGGCAGCACGCCGGAGGTCTGACGATCCAGTCGCGAGACCAACCTGAGAGGTCGGAGGTCTGACAATCCGGGCGAAGAACTCGCGGCGGCCAGTCAGTCAGTCGGGTGCTCAGCTTGGATGGGCGGTCCACCAGAGCCAAGATGAAAAAGGAACAATATGTACCAGGACCCCTAAGGGGTGGTTAATTGACACCCATTAACCTCTAAGGAGCTACTATTGGCCCCTCTTTGGCCCTGGTACCCCAAAAAAACGCCCTGGACCTACATGGAACCTGAAAACAATGTCGGGTCATCGAGGAAAATCGTCTTCCAAAGGTCCATGCCATCAGGTTCCATGTTGATCTTCCGTGTATCTTCTACAACTTTCCAGGGGGAGGACACCCACAGTGGAAAAAAACTGGTGAACATCAAATACCAACAGAGGTTGCCCTAATTCGCCTATCCCAGTCTGGTACCCCAGGTTACAGGTCCTATTTACGGTCGACCTTAACCTCTTGGAAATCCCCGGATCCATCTGGATGCCGCAAAGAACAGCTCAGAGTCTCTAAAGGGTGCACTCACGCTCGCGATCGCTGATCCAAAACAAATTCGGCCCCTGGAGACCAGCGCTCCGAAAGTGGTGGAAGAGGCAATGATTGCTAATTATTGGAAGATCCGTTTGGGGAAGAGGGGGTGGAGTCGTTTGAATTTGTGAGATGTCCAACATGAAAAAAATGCTAAAACCTGAACAGTGAACATCTTCGAGGTTCCCCTTCAAGCATGGAGAGGTTGGCAGTCATCTCATTGTGCATTTGGGGGGCCACCCGATCAAGAGTCCAAGTATTATCTCATACTTTACCAAGAGAGGTTGAGTGACCTGAACTAGGACCCTACTGGGGTACCTATGGGATAGTCTATAATTCTTCAACCTCTGTTGGTATCTCATATTATCCTCCTTCGCGTCAAATCCTTTCAACAGCACGCTGTGTTGCGCATTGACGCGCATTGTGTTGCCCACCGAGCCAAAACCTGGTGGCCATGTTCGCACACCAAGGCGTCTTTCCAAACATTGACATGTTTTATGAAAAAAAAACGACACACAACCGCCCACAAGCGTATTGAAAGCCCCATAAAGTAATTGGCGCTCCCCTCAAGAAGGTAAGAAAAGAAGCACCGGTGTTTCCAACCGCCGGATGGATGGTTTTCTTGCTTGCAGTCTCAGCCGCGTGAGCTTTCCAGTCCAACCGGCCGAAGAGGCGTCCGCCTGGAGCAGCTCGGCAGCCGCTTCACCTCAGGCGCACCGGGGTGCGGGCGTGAACGTCGACGGACGTTGGGAGCTACTCGGAAGAGTTCAGGTGCCCAGAATGAAGGTTTTAGCATTAAACGTTGAATACACATATCAAAGCATATCAAAACACACATTCAATAACAACACAATGAAACTAAACACATGAAATCTTACATGAGAGATTTCAAGCCAAGCACGCATCCTCGGGTCAACCATCCTCAGGTTATAAGTACGGCATCTGGCACTAGACCAAAGCCGGTCTCATCTTGGGTGTGAGACTTCCCCCCACCGTCCCCGCCCAGGACAGCTGCGCGGGAACCCTGCCGTGCTGCTACTGACCCCTGCGGGCTTGAAGATCGCGAGCACACCACGGCCCTGGAAAGCCTGGGCAGGGCTGGAGGTGGAGGCTCACGTCCCATCCTGCAACAAAGAAATGGACAAGGTCCCCTGGAAGGGGGTTCACCCAGTTCGGGAAAGGCCAAAATCACCTGAAACAGAAGCAGGCCAAACAGAGTGGACGCTTCAATGCTTCAAGACTGCAAAGCATCAAGGCTCCCACAAGAAGCGAGTCCATGGATCATGATTGGGAGAGGCTCAAGAAGAAAGAGTGATCTTAGTGCACCGTTGCCATGTCGGAGCAAACCTCGAAAAATGGACTGATTATCCTCCGCCACCTCAGGAATTTCTACATCAACACGGCAATTACCTCCGGGAGGTTTCCAGTTATTTCCAGTTCAGGTTGTGGAGAATGCTGCACAACCGGCCACATGAACAACCAGCCACCTACTGGACAACACATGGCAACACTGCTTCGTAGAGGAGACCAACTCTGGGGCCCAAGCACTCACTTTCCATCACTGGAGACCAACTCACTCTATGCGAACCACATCTGTTCATGGGACCCCCCCCTCCATGGTTCGGCTCGTGCTCGTCATCGGCCTCGTACTCGTCATCTCCAGTCCAAGGAAGTTTCAAACTCAAGTCTGGCGGCTTAAGGCCTCCTACAAGAATCACATGGAACCGGGCGACCCGCATGGACCAGACTGGAAGACGAGGAAATCCTCTACAACCCCCAGTCGTTTTCAGGTTCCATGTAGGTCCCTTCCAGGGCGTACATCCCCCCTGCCCCCTACCCTTGCTTCTTGTCCTCCGACCGATCAGGCAGGGCGTGATGCACGCCGACAACAAGGACCACTCCAACCCACTGCGCCCAGAAGCGCCAGGTCGAAGCTTCTCCAAGAGCTCTGGCCTTGGCGGCACGAGAACGCCGGGCGACGGGTACGCCCGTTCTCGAACGGTCGGCCACGGGGTCTGAGCGGATGGGGCTTGGAACCTGCGGGGGGCTTCGACCTGATGAAGTTTGCAAACCTTCCAACAAAGGTTGAAGAACCCGACTGTGCGACTATCCCAGTTGGGTACCCAGGTTTTTCCGGGTCCTATATGATTCGGCCACTTCACCTACCTCTCTTCGTTCCAATGAGAAAGAGTCGCGGAAACCGGGTGTTTGATTGCACATGGAACACACGTAGACTATGCGGAGTCCATGTGCCTTCAAACTTGCAGCTTGTGGGGCACAAACTTCCCACCGCTTAGTTCCACGTGCTCTCGTTCTCCACATCACTTAGTGTCCGAGATGTTGAAAAGCATGTCGTATCTCCTCTCAAAAGGTCGTGAACTTACTTCCCACCCCTTGACAAAAACCACTGAATCACCACTGGGTCACCACTGGATCACCTCTTCACCATCTCAGCTCTGTCTCACTCACTCACTCCTCCCCCCTCCCACGTCCCCAACCTCCGAACCGAGCCGCGGGAGCTCCGGCCCATCAGCCTCCTTGGCCCAAGCGCACCTGGCCGAGGCCAACCCCGGTGGACGACGGAGGATGACGGAGGTCTGCATGTCTGAAGCGCTGGCCAGTCGGCCCAGTCGCATCGGATAAGTTGCATCGCAGTCTCTTGATATCTAATCCTATCCTATCCTATCTGTGTTTGTGTGTCTATACCTACTAGCTTGATCGTCCAACTCTGACACATCTCTGCCTTTTCATCCATCAAAAAAGGCCAGTTAGGCAGAATTTGGGCATATGTAGATGGAAGACCCGGGTACATCCAGATATACTTCAGGCAGACAAAAGTTTACGCTTGTTAGCCTTCTTACAAAACAC